TAGTAGTCGTAGAGGTAGAAGGATAGTAGTAGCAGCAGTATGTCGCAGCAGTAGTAAGCAGTAGTAGTAGCAGTAATAGTAGCAGTAATAGTAGTTAGTTAAGTTAGTAGTAGTAGTAGTAGTAGTGTAGGTAGTAGTAGTAGTAGTAGTAGTAGTAGTAGTCGTAGTAGTAGTAGTAGTAGTAGTAGTAGTAGTAGTAGTAGGTAGTTAGTAGTAGTAGTAGTAGTAGTAGTAGTAGTAGTAGTAGTAGTAGTAGTAGTAGTAGTAGTAGTAGTAGTAGTAGTAGTAGTAGCAACAGTAGCAGTAGCAGTAGCAGTAACAGTAGCAGTATCAGTAGCAGTAGCAGTAGCAGTAGCAATAGCAGTAGCAGTAGTAGGAGGAGGAGGAGGAGGAGGGGGAGGAGGAGGGTGAGGAGGAGGAGGAGCAGGAGGAGGAGGAGGAGCAGGAGGAAAAGTAGGAGGATGAGGAGCGGAAAAAAAGACTGAGCAAGAATCGAGCAGGAGAACACTTCCCGCGTCTCCTCCGTCCCTCCCCCTCGTGTCTTCCTCTCTTCTGGTCGTTTTCGCTCCCCTCCAGGTGTATTCCCAGTCGTTCGGCGAGCGAGCCGTTGTCGGAGCAGACTCCACCTCCCTATCTGGCAAGGTGGCGGGGTGGCAGGGCTGCAGCCTTCGGGAACCAAAGGCCCCCAGTACCGAGGCACCGCAGGCAGCAGCAGCAGCAGCAGCAGCAGCAGCAGCAGCAGCAGCAGCAGCAGCAGCAGCAGCAGGGGTGGCGCGGCGCAGAGGCGGGCGCGCGCAGAGCTCGCGGCGGTCCTGACCAAGCGCAGCACCCGCACCACGCGGGCAGCCCGCGCGCCGATGCGTGCCGTCCTCGGGCGCTTCCCCAACTGACGCCCGAGAGGGGGGGGGGGCGAGAGGACTCTCGGTGAATCTTAGGAGGGGAGGAGGAGGAGGAGGAGGAGGAGGAGGAGGAGGAGGAGGAGGAGGAGGAGGAGGAGGAGGAGGGAGGACTCTCGGTGAATCCTGGGAGGAGGGCCGCAAGCACACCACCATACACCACTACCAGCAGGCCAGCTCGGGCCCACCACGGCCTCTCGACCCTGGACAGGAGCCGACGTGCGCCGAGGTGCTGCCCAGTGTGGGCCTGAGCTGGCCTGGCCTGACTTGGCCATCTGCGGAGAGGTCACCCCGCTTCGCGCCTCGCACCGCGCACAGCGGAGGCGCGAGGCGCGGCGCGACGCGAGGTGACTTCCCCCCCTCACCCTCCCCATACTCCCCCTCCCTCTCCCCTCCTCCTCGTCCTCCCCGTTCCCACGTTACGTCTTCTGGATCGAAGCGACTGTCTGGCCCAGGCCGCGAGGAGCGAGGCGCGAACTGGTATCCGTGCCCCTGCGAGAAACCTATGAGGAGGGGGAAGGAAAGGAGGGGTGAGACTCCTCCTCCTCCTCATCCTCCTCCTTCTCCTCCTCCTCCCGTTTCCCTCTGCCTCTCCCGATTTCATCTCCACTCTTCGGGCTGCACTCCCCCCCGGTGTGGCGTTGGTGACCATCGCCGCGGGCATCCCCCATCCATGATGTCACCCACGCTGTTCTACCGAGACGGTGCGCAATGTTTCGGTCAAGGGGGGAGGAGGGGGGGCAGCAGCGAGGAGGTACCCGGCAGGAGGGAGAAGGGGTGAGGGAGGAGGTCGAGGAGGGTGAAGAGGCCCAGGGACACACAAATAAATACACACTAATCCCAGGATTCCCCGTACTTTTTTTTTTTTTTTTTTTTCTCTCTCTCTCTCTCTCATATATATATATATACACACATTATATGTATATATGTGTGTATGTATGAATCTATACACACATATACATACATACATATATATATATATATATATATATATATTGGGTTTCGCCTGCCCCCCACTTCCCATGTTTCCCCTAGCTTCATGGAGAAGGGAGAAGGGAGGAGGGAAGAGGGCAGGAGGCGTCGAGGCGAGAACCGAGTTTTCGCTCAGGGGTGCGACCAGCGCCGAGACAAGATAACCATCTCCCCAAGCAGCAGCGTGGACGGCGCTGAGGCGAGAGCACCTCTTCAAAGGGGCACACACACACAAAAAAAAACAACACACACACAGATAGTGTGTTTCGATATTTTCTGAGTTTTCGTCGTCCCCCCCACTTACCACATTTTCGCTTATTTTCCGGTGGATCGACGATATTAACTGTCTCTGTGTGACTTTTCCCCTCCCAGACAACCTTCAGGGACGAAACCAGCGCTTAAGCGAGAGAACTGTTCCGAACTGGGGGTGGCCAGCTCTGAGGCGAGAACACCATTCCCCATCGGGGATGCGGCCAGCGCTGGGGCGAGAATACCAGTCCCTCCCAGGGTTGTGGCTGGCGCCGTGGCGGGAGCGGCACCCTCACTCCAGGATGTGGCCAGCGCTGAGGCTGGAGCAGAGCACCACCGACTAGCAGGAGAGTGGCCGGCGCTGAAGCCAGAGCACCATTTCGAATCCGCGATGCCGAGCGCCCCCCCCTGGCACTTTGCCGAGATCCCCCCCCCCAATGCGCGCTCCTCCACGGGCACTCGCCCTCAGTCGCCCACGTCCGTCGTTCCACGGGAGGGGCCCGCCCCCCGAAGTACCTCGCCCAGACCACTTCCTGGACTCCCCCCAGGCGATCCCCCAGACGCTGCTCCTGGGCGTTCCCTGGTCGCCCTTCTCTTAGTGGGCCTTGGAAACGACAGGGCTTTTTTTTTATCGGTTCCGTTTTGCCGTTTTTTTGCCGGTTCCGACGCCGTTTTTTACCGGTGCCGTCGCGGTTTTTTGACCGGTTCCGGCTGAAAATTCCGATCCTGGAGCCGCTTTTTTTGCCGTTTCCGGTCGCCGTTTTTTCGCCGTTTCCATTTTCAATGGGCATTTTTCTGGAAACGGTGAAAAAACCGCCCTGCCGTTTCCGAGGCCCACAAAGGCCCTTCTCCCTGGGCGCTCCGCGAGGCACTCCCCAGATGCTCGCCCAGACGCTCCCCCAAACGCGCACCCAAACGCTGCCCAGGCACTCCCCCAGGCGCGCGTGCACCCCGCCCCGTGTGCAGCGCAAGCTGTCAAAACGATGAGGCACTGATGGTACTCGTTTACCGCAACCGTGAACCCATCCAATTCAGCATGAGCAAGCTCAACATACCATTCAACAACCGCGTCTCCGACCTGCACAACTGACCAGAACCATATGCAGGGGCACTTCAAACTCGTTGACAAACTTGCAGGGCAGAGGTGTCAATGTGGATATCTATCGTGAACGGCAAACCATGTCTGTTTTGTTCAGTGCGAGTGCCATGTTAATGCATCAAAGCCCCGATTGTTTTCTTCTGGAGGGCACTTGCACTCATGGTCCGTCTCGTCGGTGATGTTGTCTTCCTGCGTCATCTTCTCATGTTTTCTCAGACACAGACTCTGCATCTGAGGTGGCAATCGCCGTCAAAATCCACATGGTATGAGTCAGCGTCGGCGCCAGCTTCTGGTGAGCACTTCGCATCGCGATGTCGTGCTGAAGGCAGCACCCTCCAGGTAGACCGTTGCTGGGCACGGGGAGCCGGAAGAAGCAGAACGGCGGCAGGCAGAAGCAGAGGCAGAGACAGGACGAGAGAGGGAGGCAGGAGAGCAGGAGCGAGAGGACCAGGAGCAGGAGCGAGGGGAGCAGGAGGCAGGGGAGCAGGAGCAGGAGCAGGAGCGAGGGGAGCAGGAGCGAGGGGAGCAGAGACGAGACGAGAGCAGGAGCGAGAGGACCAGGAGCAAGGAGGCAGACGGGCCGGCGTGCGAGACGGCAGGAGGGGGAGAAACGTTCCGCAGGAGCAGGAGGAGCAGTAGCAGCGGCGCCTGCACCAGCGGAGAGAGCGCGAGAGAGAGAGAGAAGGGGGGGCCGGCCTCCCGGAGCGGAGGCTGCTGGCATTGTCGTCGCTGTCGTCGGAGGAGCCGGAGAGCAACTGGTTCGGGGGCGGGGCGCGTGGCATTGGCTTCCGCGGGGCGGCGGCCGTGTGAGATCGTGTAAGGTAGCACGGGGGGGTCATCGGGAAAGGGTGGTGGCATGAGAGCAGCGGGGGGCGCAGGGGGACGCGGGGTGCCGGGCGGGAGGCTAGCAAGGGGCGGCTCGCAATGCGGCCGCGCGCGGCTGGTCCCACCTCGGCCGCCCACTGCTCCTCCTCTCCTCCTGCTCCTGCACCCCTCCTCCGTCTCCTGCTCGTGCTGCTGCTGCACAACATCCTCCCCCTCCCTTTTGTCCTGTGCACCCACTTTCTCTCCTCCTCCTCCTCCTCCTCCTCCTCCTCCTCCTCCTCCTCCTCCGCCTCCGCCTCCTCCTCCTCCTCTTCCTAGAGGGAGAGATGGACAGATGGACAGATGGAGAGAGGGAGAAAGAGAGAGAGAGAGAAACAACAAAATAGAGAGAGAGAGAAAGAGAGAGAGAGAGAGAAACCAAACAAATAAACGAGAAAACATACAACTATGGAAAGAGAGAGAGAGAGAGCAAGGGATATAGAAACATATACGAATGGAGGGACTGAGAAAGAGAGAGAGAGAGATAGAGAGAGAGAGCGAGAGAGACAAAAAACATACAAACAAGAAGCAGAGGGAGAAAGGGAGAGAGGCAGAAGCAGAGAGATGGAAAAGGGAATGCAGTAGTAAGCGGAGCGGGTGCGACGGGCACATCTTCGATCCATTTCGCCACCATGG